GAGCTATCATTGATGGAAGGGAAGAAGTAAAATTTATTTTGTTGGAGTTGTTAAGGCTGAATGCAGAAAAAAACTCAAGGCGGGGGCGGGGGGCGAAATATCTAAATGGTTTCCCTATGGCTCTCACGCGGACTTCAACCATGGTTTCAATTTCAAGGAGGTCATGAATTTTGCCACCATGAGATAAAGAAAGTGGCCTCTCAGTGCATTATTGAGGAAGACGTTGTGACCTTTTCCCTGGACGCTGTCATGGGCATCCTATAACCCAGGTACCATGAGCTGTGGAAACCCAGGCAAGAAGGATTAGTTGCAGACCCCATGGAGTCCAGGGCACAGGCCAGCCTGGAGATGCCCACCTGGTGGAAGACCCAAGTGCCTGAGAAGGCTTTCTGGACTGAGGCACCACCCATGTCACCAGGGCCATCACCCACTCAGCCTATGGTCTCCAGCTGTGGTACCTGTTGCCTCACATTTGTATGCCTGTGTTCCCGTGGCCAATCTAGCCTGCAGTGATTGGCCATGGGAACACCTGGCACACAAATGTGAGGCAACAGGTACCTTCCCAGCCCAGGACCTTAGCTTGGACCCACTGCCCACCCTGGCTTTGTCAACCTTGGTCTGAACCTTTCAACTGGCAGATGTGGTTGGGGTCCTTAGCCTTTGTAACTGGGGGCTCAGAAGCCAATCCTCCGGGTTCCATCTAGCCAGGAGGTGCCTCTTGGTGGTCACAGACAGCACACCTCCAGGCCCTCAGCCTAATCCCCTACCCACAGATGCAGCTTTGATGAACAGTCCAGGATCCAGCATCCTGCTAAGGATTCTGGGTGCTACTGGGCCCCCACCCCTGTGCCCGTGGTCAGCCTTTATGCTCCACTTCTCTGCTCTGTGGGGGCTTCTTGAGATCGGTCACATTTACAACTCAGATTTTTGGGCAAATTTTCAGGCCACTGCAATTACAGTGCCTCCTGGTGCCTCCCTGTTAGCACCTGTGATAAGGACCCTGGGCACTGCTGGGTCCATGGTGGTTACCAAATTCACCTCTCAGATCTTGTAATACCTTTGAACGCTTCTAATTCTGTGTCACCAGCTGAGAGTTAATCCACCGGACATGAGTATGTCTGAGAACGAGGTCTTTTTGGTTTGCCAGGAGCTCATCTCTCCCAGTGTCCCAAACTTTGGGCCAATTATGGAGGCTGCGGCACTTCTGAAGAATTTGGACTGTGGGTCCCCTTCAATCTTCTTCCCTTATCTCTCCCTCCCCCAGCTCTCCCCTTCTTGCAAAACTAGCCTTTTATGACCAATTAGGTCAATAGAGTCAGAAAAAAAAAGCGTCATATTTCTAATTCATTGAGATATTTAAAGTGTGATGTCACCAGTATTTGTTAACAAATATATTAAAGGTCACCAAAATATAAAATCTGACTTTCTTTCTAATATTGTAATTTTGAAACATTGTGGGAGGAGGTTATTCTCCATGCATTTTTTTTCCAGTTATTTGAGAACATTTCAGGCAACACTCATTAATATTTTACGGGCTGGTTAGATTTTGTGGTGGTGACTGAGCTGAGCGTATGCTTATGAGGTTCTGGCTATCTGGCTGTGTGGGACCACTGGATCGCAGTTATGCTTTGAGGATGTTTTGGTAGGCCCAGCCTGGCAGTCAGCCAAACAGCAGGACCCAAGTTAGGGCAACATCCTAAAGGTTGAATAATACTATGGGCCTATAGGAAGTGCCACTAGTGATGCTGGAAACGTTCCCAAGAGGCAGAGGAAAGTTGAATTGCCTGATGTGTAGTGTACATTGAGGTCTGCAGAGAGGTTGGCAGCCATTTCAGACAGGCTATTCATCTTGTAAATGGTTACATTTTCTCCTTATAATTTTCTTAAAAACATTTTATTTTCTCGCCGGGCGCGGTGGCTCAAGCCTGTAATCCCAGCACTTTGGGAGGCCGAGGCGGGTGGATCACGAGGTCGAGAGATCGAGACCAACCCCGTCAACAGGGTGAAACCCCGTCTCTACTAAAAATACAAAAAAGTTAGCCGGGCATGGTGGCACGTGCCTGTAATCCCAGCTACTCGGGAGACTGAGGCAGGAGAATTGCCTGAACCCAGGAGGTGGAGGTTGCAGTGAGCCGAGATCGCGCCATTGCACTCCAGCCTGGGTAACAAGAGCAAAACTCCGTCTCAAAAAAAATAAAACAAAACAAAACAAAAAAAACATTTTATTTTCTCTAGCTTTCTTTACTGTAAGAATACAGTATACATGTAACATAAAATCTGTGTTAATAAACTGTTTATGATATCTGTAAGACTTCCAGTCAATGATAGGCAATTAGCAGTTCAGTTTTGCGGAGAGTCAAAAGTACTTAAGGCGTTTCAACTGCACAGGGTTTCAGCATCCTGAACCCCCTCATTGTTCCAGGGCCAACTGTACATGCATCTGTGTCTGGTCTCAGTATACTGTGCTTAGATATACTGTTGATATCAACTCAAATATCACAGTTTTATAAGGAAGAAGTCTTTTTGTTTGTTTGTTTTAAGGAATCATTTTGGAGATTGTCAAATATTTGACTCTAACCGGTGTTAGATTCTAACAGTGCTAGCTCTACCACCTTGAACAAGTGACTTAATGTCTCCAGGACTCAGTTCTGTCATCTGAAAGTCAGAGGTATGGGTTTTCTTATAGATCATAGTAAGAATTAAATAAGTTATTCTAAGAGGAGTAAATTGAACAGTGTTTGCCATTTTATAATCATCATGTATGTTAGCTATTTTAAATAATATTTTACTGTCAGAAATAAAGAGGGATTTCTGTTCATCAAAAGATATGAAAAATAGAAAGAAATGACAAACCAAGGAGTGTGAACCAATATTGTATTACTCATATCCAGTAAAGAGCTGATATCCATTATATATAAAGAGCTAGTGCAGAGAATATCAACCAATAGAAAAATGGACCAAATACATAATAGGCATTTCATGAGAATATCCAAATGGCCAATAAAACATGAAAAAATTACTCACTCTTATTTGTAATGAGGAAAAAGAAAAAAAAATTTTTTTTCAAGTTTTAAGTCTCACTGTGTTACCCAGGCTGTTGTGTGGGGACTCAATCATAAGTAACATGAATTTTAATGCCCTCACCTAACTGGCTAAAAACTAAAAAGTATGATATTGACCAAACATTTGCAAAAGTGAAGAGCATTGAGCACCCTCATACACAGCTATTTTGTGTAAATTGGTTGAAAAAAAAAAAAAACTGTTGAAAAACAATCAGGCATAATAAAGTTTGAATTAACATACAGTTGTCCCTTGATATCCTGCAGGTGGAGGGGATTTGGTCCTTAATAACCCCTGAGGATTCTGAGGATTTTCAAGTCCATATAGAAGATGGCTTGGTATGTGCACGTAACTTCTACATACCTTCCCATATACTTTAATTCATCTCTGGATTACTTACATTATGATGAAAAAGCTTTGTGAATAATTGCTTACTGTAATATGTTTTATTTACTTTTATTGTTTTTTTCTTCTGAATAATTTCTTCCCACATTTGGCAGATTTCACTGATGGAGAACCCAGAGATTACAGTGGGCTGCCTGTATTCTACGACAAGGAATCCATTCATAGCTAAGGGGACACATGAGCTGCAGCATACATGTCCAAGCATGTTCTGAGCAACACTGTAAGAGGCCAAAAGTGTAAACAACACAAGTGCCCATCAGCAACACAAACATTTATACCGTCCAACACCTTACAGCAGACAACGGGACCACGTACAGGCTACACGGAATGACATAGATGAGGAAAAGAAAACTCATAATGCATTACAATATTTTTTAAAATTCTATTTATATAAGGGGACATAACATTTTCAAAAGAAGCAACATTTTAATTTATTTAGAATTTTCCTGCAGAGGAGTTTCTGTCTCTTCTTCCCAATGTGTTAATTTATCTAGATCATTTATTTACAACAGCACAAATTCATATTTATTTTATATTTTAGAATATAATATAGCAGTACTTTCGTTTGTTCTTTGCATTTTTCAAGATTTGGCCATTGGGAGCTGTTTTATTGGTTTTTGTACTACTCTAAAATTAGCCCATGAATACTTTTGTTTTCTTTCTACTTACCACATCCTTATTTTCCAGCAGTCCAAGATGCTCTCTGCCCTTTCTGTATATTTCCTTTCCAGAGGTAGAAACCGTATTTCTTCATCAGTATTGCTAGGTTTTTCTTTCTTTAAAAGTGTTAGATTTTAGTTTTATTAATCATCTTTTTTTAAAAAAGCCAGTATTGTCCCTTTTATCTATTTATAATTCTATCCTTCTTTTAATGTTTTATTTTCTTTTTTGTTTTGGTTTTGTTTTACTAATTGTTTGACTTCAACATAGAAAAGTAAGAGTTTTAGAAATGTGATTATTAATTTTCAAATAAATATGACTGGATTCAGGTGTTTTATCTTTGACCTTCAATATCATTTCACTGAGATGAAGATGTGCTCAATTTATTGAACTATGAAATTTTAATTGATATTTAATTTGTAGTCTTGTATTGGGAAATTTTGGAAAATGTTTTCGACATATTTTTGGTTATTGCAGGTTATATGATCAAAGTGTTGTTTGTTTTGCAAATTATCATTGCATTACTAGTTTTGTTCTCTGCACTATTGATTTCTGAGAAAATGGCGTCACAAGGAAAAAAAAAACTTCCATCCTGAGTGCAGATTTTTCAGTTTTACCTTATAACTCTCAGTCTCGGCTCTCTATGTGTCACTGTAGTGTTTTTAGGTGCGTTAAGTTCACTGCAACGACTTCCTAGTGAATTTTTAGTAATTTTCAATTTTATAGTAATTTTCGATTACTTTAAAAAAGTATTAGATTTCAGTTTCATTAATATATTTGTCTGGATTGCCTGTTCCCATAGACTGACCTTTTATCACTTAGCTTTGTTCTTAAGATTGATCTAAAATGTAAAAATAAAAGGAAGAAGCATGGGTGGGTGGGACGTCCAATCTAAACCCAGCCCAGTGATCACATTATCTGGGCTCTGATTAGGTTAGGACGTTGCCCAGGTATAAAGCCAGGATCTCTGGGCCCTGGCTTCATTTGGAGTTCAGCCACCAAGAGGAAGCCTTCCTCTGAGTCCTGGCGTATTTGGCCTGGAATTAGGAATTTGCGAGTTGCTGCTCCAGGGCGCTCCCTGCGGAGATCGGCGGCCCGCCTCCCCGCCGATCTTTTCCCGGCGTCCCCACGCGGGGCGCAACCGCTAGAGAAGAACGTCGGTCTCGCCGCCCGCGCCCAGGGCAGCGCCAGTTCCCCGGCCCAGGCCGCTCCAGGAGCCATGAGCTGCGGTCGCCCCCCTCCCGACGTGGACGGCATGATCACCCTGAAGGTGGACAACCTGACCTACCGCACCTCTCCCGACAGCCTGAGGCGCGTGTTCGAGAAATACGGCCGCGTGGGCGACGTGTACATCCCGCGGGAGCCGCACACCAAGGCGCCCCGGGGCTTCGCCTTCGTCCGCTTCCACGACCAGCGAGATGCGGAAGACGCCGAGGCCGCCATGGACGGGGCGGAGCTGGACGGACGCGAGCTGCGGGTGCAGGTGGCGCGCTATGGCCGCCGGGACCTGCCTCGCAGCCGCCATGGAGCGCCACGCAGCAGGGCCGGGGGCGGCGGCTACGGACGGCGGAGCCGCAGCCCCAGGCGGCGACACCGCAGCCGATCCCGGGGTGCGAGCTGCTCCAGGTCCCGCAGCCGATCTCGCCATAAGGGGTCTCGCTATAGCCGGTCTCCTTACAGCCGGTCTCCTCACAGCCGCTCGCGTTACAGCCGCTCTCCCTACAGACGATCTCGCTATAGCCGATCTCCTCACAGCCGGTCTCGCCACAGCCGATCTCGCTACAGGGAATCTCGCTACAGCGGGTCTCGCTACAGCTCGTCTGGTTACAGCCGCTCTCGCCACAGCCGCTCTCGCTACGGCCGATACCACAGCAGCCGGTCTCACTCGAAGTCTGGGTCCTCCACTGGCTCTCGCTCTGCATCCACCTCCAAATCGCGCTCTGCGCGGCGATCCAAGTCGTCCTCGGCCTCCAGGTCTCGCTCACGGTCCCGGTCTTCATCTGTGACTGGGAGCCCTCCCCGGGTATCCAAGAGGAAATCCAAGTCCAGGTCTCGATCCAAGAGGGCCCCCAAGTCTCCTGAAGAGGAAGGACAGGTGTCCTCTTAAGAAAATGATGCAACAGCAAGCCACGTAATGGAGGACTTGGGGAAAGGATCACATACTCAGTCCCTGAAAGCAGAGTCCCTGGAAGAAGGGACTGCCTATTGAAAAGGTTGTGTCGTACTTTTCTACCTTTTTACTAGTTTGAAGCTTTGCATCAGGTGGCAAAATTCATTCTGTGTGCTGTTTTGTTGTTATTCACATTTTCTTGTAATTTAGGAGGCGACCGACCTAAGATTACATTTTGGGTTTGGATATTTGAGGCAAAAATTTATTTTTATTTCGATAGAGCTGACTGTTTCGGTTTGAAATGAACAGATTGGTAACCTAATTTGTGGCCTCCTGACTTTTAAGGAAACTTGTGCAGGCGTTACACACAGCCTAACGCTGTTACCACATTGCTTCAACATTGCCTTCATTCCTTAAAGTTAAAACCCTACAAAAGGTGTTGTAGATTAATATGGTTAATTTTGTCTCCAAGTCTGAAACGTAGTATGACCCAAATTCGTATAAAGATTTTTCATGTGAAAGGACTGGGTTTTTAGCAAACACAATTCTAATCTCTTCTGTGTTTTTGTGCACCAGGCCCGGCTGCCTAGCCGTTGAGTGATGCTGGTTAGTTATTAAGGTGGCCTGTTGCAGTGCAGAGTGCTGAGCTGCTTCCTGTTTTCTTCTGATTGCTTCTGGGGAAACACGCCTTGTCCTGAAGAACAAATGGCTGTCCAGTTTATTAAAATGCCTGTCAACTGCATTTCCAGTGACTCAGGCCTTGCAGATAAATAATGGAGCATGCAGTGAGCACATCTAGCTGATGATAATCATACCCTTTTTCCCCGTCTTTTCTGAAAAATTGTAAATCTGATCATAACAACATGTGTGAACTTAAAATGTGGAGAATCTTATGGAAGAAATGGTTTATAAGTTTGTTAAGTACTTATAACATGGTATATCTTTTTGATTTTTTTTTTTTACGCTAACCATTGTTTCTGCAGTTTAAATTGTTTTCTTGGTGTTACCTTTTCTCAAAATAAAATTAGAAATTTTTGGTGGAAAGTAAGTTGTTTTATTTTCTGTATAACTTGGATATTTGTACTTTTGAGAAAATTGTTAGCACCGAGTGTTTCTCAAGAATTAATTATAATTTTAAAAAAATTATAATTAACTCCTAAGAAACACTGGGTGCTAATAACTTTATAAAAAGAAATTTTCTTTATAAAATATAATTTTCTTTATAAAATTAGAAAAAGTAATTATCATTTTTTAAAAATTATAATTAAACATAGGTTTTTAGCTATGTGATTTATTTTATCACAATACAGTTTATTTGTAGTTTCTCTCTTCTCATACCTATGGTTTTTTACTTCTAAAATTCTTTTCAAATAATTCATTTTGGCTTTCATCATTATCCCTACTAGGTGTTATGTCTTTTGAAATTGCTTCTGCTTATACCTTTACTAACAGGGAAATTAACAATTTGGTGTTTATGATCTGGTGACAATAGGATTATATTGGAGCCAATTGAATAAACTTATTCTTTTAATCATATAGATCTTCATTAATATTTTTGACTGAATTATCAATGAAAATAGTCCATTCCCTTTGTGCAGAAACTGCTAAATCCAAGATTAGATTCTTGAATGAACTGACGAGGTGGCAGTGGACTGTGAGATATGTATCCCACATTTTTGTGTTGTAACAGTAGTTATGTTTTGCATAATACTGTTTTCATATATAGAATCCAAAATCTAAGTTTTACAATGATTACATTCCTTCTGGTCATGACAAATGTAATATTTTACAAATATAAATCTACATAGAATCCAGACACACACACAGCAGGCCTGTCTGAGAAACGCAGTCAGGACATCCACGGCATTGTAGTAGCCACTCACATCCAGCAGGTGGCGAATGGAGCGGGGGGTATATTTATTAAATGGGACCGAGTGGGACGGGGCAGCCCTATGGTTATGGGAGCGTTCTTAATTTCTGGAGGTAGTATAAGACCCAGGCATAGCTGGAGTTTGAAGCGTTGAAGTAAGAATATCTGTGGAACATCTTAAACCTGGGACCAAAATACGATGTTAAAATCAGCAGTTCTTGATGTGTTAAAAACTTTGAAACCTAGGAACAATTTTGGACATGTTGGATCAGAAATGTGTAGTTGTCATTGAAGGTGTGAACATACCCTACCTCTACTCTACATGTGGAAGACGTGGCATACAGAGGACATGGACCCATGCAGAAGAGTGATGTGACATGTTTTACATTTTATTAGCACCATGACCTAACCAACTGAGCTAACTGGCCACACTATTTTGTCCTATGTAATGATCACTATGAGGCTGAGTGCAGAATGGAGTGTATGCGGTCAAGAGTGGAAGCTGTGAGGCTGTTGCAGTAATTCAGAAAGAAAGGTGACAATTACTTAGACTTCGGTGGTAGTGTTGGTAAGGGACATAAATAGACATACTCAGGAAATATGTTGGTCTGAGATCTCATAAGACACGTAATAGATTAGAAGTAGGGAAATTAATGAAAAACCAGAATTAAGGATGATTTCTCACTTATTGGCTTGAAATTCTAAGTGAATGAGGGTACTGTTTACTGAGTTAGGGAAGACTGAGGCAGGGGCGGGGAGTGGGTATAGAAATTAAGAAAGAAAAATCAAGAATTTCCAGGACTTTCAGAGCAATGTTAACTACTTTCCTTGATAGTGGGTCAGTCATCATCTGTTAAGTGCATTTCTAAAAATCCTGCTTAGTTTTGTTCCTGAGCTTTGTATAAATGAAACTTTGTGTGTACTGATTATATTGCTGGATATTATGTCTTTAAGATTCTCGGTATTGTTGCATGTGTCTGAAGTTTATTTTTAATTCTGTGTAGTGTTTTACTAATGAATAAATCATAATTCAGTTTTTACTGTTCTATTGATGGACATCTGGGTTGTTTCCCATTTTAGTTATTTTGAATAAGGAAGCAATGAATATTTTTATACATATACCCTGATGTACATGTGTATATACATTTCAAGTATCAACCCCAAAAGTGCATTTGTTGGGTTATATAGGTCAAGTACATATTCAATTTTGTTAGATAATTTTCAACTCTTTTCCAAAGTAGTTCTACTGATATATACTATTATCATCAATTGAGAATTCCGGTTGCTCCACATCTTCATTAATACTTGTTAATGTCAGACCTTTTAATATTTGCAAGTCTGATGGGGATATAGTGGTATTTCATTTGGTTTTAATTTTCTTTACCCTGATTACCAAAGAAGTTGTACCTTTTTTGAATGTTTTAGCTACTTGGAGATCCTTCTTTGTGAAGTGTCTTTTCAAGAATTTGTCTGTCTTCCTATTGGGTTATTTGTCTTTTCTTAACAGTTTAAAGGGATTTTCTATGTACCTGGATCTTATTTGTCTTTATATCCTATAAATATGTTTTCCCATTCTGTGGCTTGTTTTTTTTTAAACTCACTTTATGATGTGTTTTGATGAATTATTTTTACTTTAATGTAGCTGCATTCTTCCAACGTTTTGTAGTTAGTATTTTATGTGTCTTGTTCTATAATCTCAGGTAGTAAAGATACAACTGGAATTGATTTTCGTGCATGTGGTGAGGTAGAAATCTAACATAATTGTTTTTCTACATGGATATCAGTTTTCTCTGCACTATTTATTGAAAACTCCCTTTGCTATCCAATCAGCCACCTCTACCATATACTAGTATCCATACTGGGTAAGTTTACTTCTGGATTCACTATTTATTTTTATTGAGATATATACATATACATGTACATGTACATATACATATACATCCTGTGTGTGTATATATACATGTACACACGTATATAAAGATGTAGATATCATGTAGAATATATATTTTAAAGATATATATATTATCTATCTGTAATATATATTATATAATTTTATATAAATAACCCTTCACCAAAATTGTTCAGGGGCATACTGTATAGGCTATAGCGCCACCATGATCCACTCTAATACACAGCCATTTGTAACTGAGCTTGATAATTTTTCTTCTTCAATCAATTGCTTACCAGAGAACTCCCTGCAAGGCTACACGTGAAGATTGGAAGAGGATAGCAGTGTGGCAAGAGCAGGCCTGCTGGGGAGTGTAAGTAACCTGTTTATGTGATTTACTTTGTCTTCAGAACGTGTTCCGTCTTGGTCATTTCAGTCTTATTTCTGCTTGGTGGTAGAGAGCTGGCAGGTGTGACTCACTTTGTGGCTTGTTGGGTTAGTCATCACCCAGCTCATGATGGGAGGGTTAGGTCATATTCTCACCTTTGGTCATGTTTTTGGTCTCTGCCAGGGCCCAAGAGCAAGGGAAGAGGTTCCACTCAAGAATTGTCATTTACTCAAGAGGAGAATCATCTATGAAATACAGCATGGATTTGCTTCAAAGACCCAGAACAGTGGTTTTCAAACTAAATGTACATTTGAATCCTGTGGGGATCATGTTAAAATGCAGATTTCAATTCAGTAAGTTTGATGTGGGGCCTGAGATTCTGCATGTTTAATAAAATCCAGTTATTGTCAGTGCTGCAGGTCATGGACCATTCTTTAAGTAGCAAGGATGTAGAAAACTCCATTGTGATTCTCCTGTGGCAGCTTGACATGAAACATCAGTGTTTCTCAAAGTGTTGTTAGCTCCTTGCAACAGAATCGGTATCACCTGGGAATGTGTTAGAAAATTCCAGAATTGGTGATGCCAATTCTAGGGGCTCACTTCCCAGACATACAGAATTAGGAACTCTAGGATAAGACCCAGAATCTGTTTTAATAAGCCCACCAGGTGATTCCAATGTGCACTAAAGTTTGAAAACCACTGTTCTCCATAGGTTGCTGGTTTTCAACCAATTAAATCAGTATCTCTGGAAGTGGGACGTAGGCATCAACACTATTTTTAAGTTCTCAAGGTGGGTGTGGTAGTGCATGCCTGTATTCCTAGCTACTCAAAGCTGAGGTGGGAGGATCCCTGGAGTCCAGGAGTTTGAGGTTGTAGTGAGCTATGATTGTGCCACTGCACTTCAGCCTGAGGAAAAGAGCAAGACCCTATTTCTAAAACACAAATGAATAAATAAAGTTTATAAGTGCAATGGAATCAGGTGATTCCACTGTGCAGTCAAGAGGAACCTGATCTGTCTGAAGCTTTGGGCATAATTGGGGCTGCTGGGTGTTAAGGAAAATATGGCAAAGTTGCTTTTCCTACAGTCTCAGCTTGGTGGAAAGTGTTTTTCTCTCTCTGGGCCCCATGCAGAACAGACAGTCTTTGGTTCACCTGGTATGTGCTACCTCCAAATTCCCAAGAGATCCACGAAGCTTTCTGTCTCCATCTTAGTATTTGAAGGTTTAGGGTTCCTCCGTTCATCCTTCAGTTTGAAGGTGATATCCTAATGTAGCCTACACCATTAGGCTTAAAAGAACTTCACTGCGTTAGCAAGAACTTGCATTCCAATCGTATTTCTCTTTCATCTTCTGGTAGATATGTTTTACCAAGTCACCTAGATTATTCACTGCTTTCTGTTCTCCTGGTTCTATCAGAATAATATTATCAATAAAATAAACCAGTATTCTATGTGATGATGAGTTGGTAAAGATCCCAGCTGACTAGGTAGTAGCTCAGAGTCATAAATAAACTTGATGTTAGATGGTTAAGGTATTTTTTTGTCCTTTTGAGGTATTTGTTGTTCTCTGTGTATTAATATAGGGAAATAATCATTACCGAATAAATAGGTCCACCCAGATTTAAACTGTTCTGTAGTCTCCAGGAGCAGAGTGTTGTGGTGAGAAGGATTAGGTTTGGCATCAAGCAGGCGTAGGTTCAAATCCTAGCTCTGCCACTCACTACTAGTTATGGAAACTTAAGCAAATTAATTTACTCTCCATGAGCCTCGGATTACTCATCTCCAAAATGGGAATAATATGCTCACTTCACAGATTGCTGTAAGGACAATATAAGCTAATCCATGCAAATCATGTTCTAACAGTGCCTACTACGTACTGAAGGCTCAATTAATGGTAATTTGTAGTTTCTCTTGATTGCCTACTTAGAGACCACCTGGGAATATAGGTTCTGCATGGTCTTTACAAAAGTCTGGGTCAGAATAAGGAAGAGTTTAGTGA